GTTGTATTAAATAACTTTTTTCCATCTAGAAGATTTCGCGATACCAGAGATTAGGGTTTCGGAGATCTCTCTACAAAAATATCTTGCAAATGATAATCTATGTTCGGTATTTCATATTAATGTTCGGAGTATATCGAATAAGATTACTGAATTATGTTTGTTTTTAGAAGATTATTCTTTTGATATTATTTGTCTTTCTGAGCACTGGCTCTCAAAGAATAATTTGTTAATGATTAATATCACTAATTATAATTTGATATCGTCTTTTTGTCGAAATAGTAATAAAGAACACGGAGGTGTAGCTATCTTCGCTCGCCCTAATTGCGATCTAAAATCTATAGACTGTACTGCATTTTGTGTTCCGCGGCATGCAGAATTTTGTTGTGTTGAATTGGTTAATCGGAATAATGTTATCGTCGCCGTTTATAGATCATCAAGTACTGGTGATATTATTGTTTTTAAAGACAAGCTATTTGGTCTTTTAAGCTTTCTCTCTGATAAATATAAAAGAATTAGTATATTGGGAGACTTTAACATTAATCTTGATGAAAAAACTGAACATAGTGAAGATGTATGTAATATATTGTCTATGTTTGGCTTATATCATTTTATTCATGAACCAACTAGAATTACGGCTAATTCCAGTTCATGTTTAGATAATGTTATTACTAGTATTGGAAAAAATAATTTCGTTGCGGGTATTTATGACCCAGAAATTGCTGATCATTCTGGTGTTTATATGATTTTGGACATGGTAAAAAAAATTGACAATAACCGAACTGCGCAAAAAAGATTAGTTAATGAAAACTCTCTTAAACTTTTTGCAGATAATCTAAAAAGCATTGACTGGCATGAATTGGAGTCGGCAAATTTAAATTCAAATGATATATGTTCTCATGTATTAGACACTCTCAATGTTTGTGTGGATTTGTGTTTTCAAACTAAAACTTATAGTACAAATAGGAAAATGAAATCTGAGTGGTTTACCAAGGATCTGCGTGATCAACGTAATATATTGCTTAAAATCAAATCTAAATGTAAACGAACGAACGCATGTCAGGATTGGGAAATGTACAAGGAATCTCGTAAACTTTACAAACAAGCAATTAAACTAAAAAAACGTAATTTTTATGCTACTAAAATTTTTAAATCTGATAATAAAAATAAAACTATTTGGCAATTAGTTAATTCCGAGAGACAAATGCAAAGAAAATTGATTCCAACAGCCAACTTAACTCCGGATGATTTTAATTTATTTTTTGCTACTATAGCAGACAAAATAGTCAACACTATTAATATAGCAAACAAAAATCCAATGGAGTTTCTTAATAAAATCCCGAAACCTTCTTCTTCTTTTTTTATGAGTCCCATACTAGAGTCTGATATTCGGCAGGCTATACTAAAGCTAAAAAACTCACAGTGCATGGACTTTTACGAACTCAGCAGCCCCATGATCAAATATGCTACAGATTCCTTGGTCAAACCACTTTGTTTCTTATATAATAAATGTTTACTAGAAGGGTATTGGCCAGAAAGTCTAAAAATTAGTAAGGTTTTACCCTTACATAAAAAAGGGAGTATAGATGATGCCAACAACTATAGGCCGATTGCTATAGTGCCCATATTAGGCAAAATATTTGAAATTCTTATTAAAGATAGGCTTATTAATTATTTAGAAAATAAAAAATTGTTATCACCACATCAATTTGGGTTTAGAAAAAATAAATCTACAGTCAAAGCGATAGCTGCTTTAGTTGAGAGCGTAGTTGAAGGATTGGATGACGGTACAAGCACGTGTGTCACACTGTGTGACCTGTCTAAAGCATTCGATTGCGTAAACACGGAGTTACTAAAAAATAAACTGGAATTTTATGGAATTAGGGATAAAACATTAGATCTGTTATCTTCATATTTAACTAATCGACAGCAATTTGTAAACTACGAAAACTAGAGGAGTACCACAAGGCTCCGTTTTGGGCCCTATTTTATTTCTCATTTACATTAATGATCTTCCATGTAGTTTAGAAGATTGCTCAGTCATTATGTTTGCCGATGACACTACTATCCTAAATAGGGATAAATTGGTGCCCAGGGCCTTGTGTATGTCATCAGCGGAAGAATGGTTTGCTACAAACCATTTAAAATTAAATGAAGAAAAAACACAAAAAATGACTTTCACATCAAGCAAAAACATCCAAAAGATGGAACCGATTAAAACACTTGGCATAACTTTAGATTCAAACCTAAATTGGGGGGCCTCATATTGATGCTACTACCGCAAAAATTTCATCGCAAATATTTGCGTTAAGACAAATGCGACAGAGTCTTGAACAACCTATTTTAAAAATGGTTTATTACGCACTAGTACATAGTCATTTGTCGTATGGAATTTTGTTATGGGGAAATAGCTGTAGAGCAAACAAAATATTTTTTCTTCAAAAAGCAGCTATCCGACTAATAGCAGATGTCGAATATAGGGAACCTTGTCATGAGCTGTTCAGAAGATACGGGATTCTTCCACTTCCATGTGTCTTTATATTAGAAACATTAAAGGAAATTCATCTAAATATTAATAAATTTGAGACACATGCAGAGAATCATAATCACGACACGAGGAATGCAGGAAATCTTATAATGCCCCGATCTAGAATTCGGATAAGCCAATATAATAAACTCAATGTAAATATTTATAATGTCTTTCAAAATTGTAATAAAGCCAAAAATTTTAAACTTATGACTCAAGAAAAATTTCAAAAGTTTGCTAAAGAGTTTCTTCTCAAACATTGTTTTTATAGCGTTTATGAATATTTTAACTTTTTTAAATAAATGTGTATGTGTTTTATATATAAATGTGTATGTGTTCTATAAATAGATGTATGTATTCTTTAAATAATTATTATTTTAATGTTCTTGTTTTAATTACTATTAGTTAACATTACTTGTTTAAACAAAAATGTTTGGTCTGTTTTGCACTGAAATATTTTATTTTTTATTTTCTATTTTAGCTTTTTTTGCTATTAAACATTTCAATATGTAAACCTGTAACAGACTAATATTAGCTTTAAATTTTGTGACACTGTATTATGTATTATATATTTTATGACTACAATGTACTTTATGTATGAAATTGTCAATAAACAACTACTACTACTAATATTATTAATATTATTATTATTATTATTATTATTATTATTATTAATATTATTATTATTATTATTATTATTATTATTATTATTATTATTAATATTATTATTATTTATTATTATTATTATTATTATTATTATTATTATTATTATTATTATTATTATTATTATTATTATTATTATTATTATTATTATTATTATTATTATTATTATTATTATTATTATTATTATTATTATTATTATTATTATTATTATTATTATTATTATTATTATTATTATTATTATTATTATTATTATTATTATTATTATTATTATTATTATTATTATTATTATTATTATTATTATTATTATTATTATTATTATTATTATTATTATTATTATTATTATTATTATTATTATTATTATTATTATTATTATTATTATTATTATTATTATTATTATTATTATTATTATTATTATTATTATTATTATTATTATTATTATTATTATTATTATTATTATTATTATTATTATTATTATTATTATTATTATTATTATTATTATTATTATTATTATTATTATTATTATTATTATTATTATTATTATTATTATTATTATTATTATTATTATTATTATTATTATTATTAAATATTATTATTATTATTATTATTATTATTATTATTATTATTATTATTATTATTATTATTATTATTATTATTATTATTATTATTATTATTATTATTATTATTATTATTATTATTATTAATTATATTATTATTATTATTATTATTATTAATATTCTAACAAAAAAAAAGTTGTTCTAATCAAAATACATATATTATATATTGTATTCACAATAATATTAAGAAAAACAATTGTAAAAAAATTTATATGATTCTCTCATTCATAACTTAAATAAGTAAAACGCAAATACATAATAGGCTAATGGATTATATCCTCAGTCGTAAAATCCAATCATACATACACCCACAAACATACACAAACATACACAAACACACACACATACACATATTGTATTCACACAGTATTCATATCTGGCGCTGTCTTGTTTTTAGTTTCTACTCTTGTACTTAACTATACCTTTGACGTCATTTACAAGCTTACCTGAAGGTGTCTAGATAACGTCGAAAAACTAACAATATTCAAAAACATCGTTAGTAGATTCAATGAAACTGTGTTTACGACATAAACTTAACGCAGAATTAGGGTAAATGTTCTTTTGACCTGAAACCTCAACATTAGTGCATTTGTTACCGAATTTTTACCTGTAAGCATTTAGAATGTTTTCAAAATGTACATGCTGGGTATATGACTTTCAGTAACTTCTAAGAATATTCTATTAAATCACGTGCTCAGTAGCTCAGTACATACTATTTGTAATTAAATTTTAAGGCGCTCAGTGTATATTTTTTAGAAAATAATTTTAAAGTTGGTTTTCAGTATATACTTTTTAAAATATACTTTCAAATATTCTTCTACGCATGTTCTAAGAACATTTAAAGAAGGGTATACCGTAAGGATCATAAACAAAAAGTTCTGAGTATAATTATGAAACATTGATTTTATGTGAATTTCGAAATTGTTCCTTACAATATATTTCTTTCTACGTATTTACAGTAAAAACCTCTGTTGCTAAATTAAAATATTTATTTTATATTATTTAAACGTAGTTATACTAATTGTTAATTTAAAACGAAATATAATATTGTAAATATTGAAAATTAATATCGAATAAACGTTTGTAGAAATAATTGCTAATTAAATTGCTATTTTTAAATATTAACTAAATTGGTGGTTAAATCACTGTTTTAAATAAAATTATAAATTAAATTACAAAGTTAAAAGCTGATTTAGCCA